TGGACATCATTACTGACACTTTTTAAAAAAAAATATTTACAGCTGAAGACATTCCTCATTCGTATTCAGACACATTCTCAATACTTACAAAGTAAAAGTCTAGTTTTATACTTTTTCTAGAGATAAGAATGTTATAAAAACTCTAGGAAACAAAAATTACATATGCAATATACAAAATGAAAAAAGTTAAGTTCAGACCTTTTAAAGGTCTAAAAAATGTATTGGACTCAGTTCCTCCAACCTGGAAAGTACTGCTTCTCCCTTTTTTCCCTGTACTCTCCAGTAATTTCTCTGTGTCTAAAGTCTAATATGCCTGCCCGAATGTGATATAATCTCACCGGTTCATTTTAGCAGAATTCCCCCAAAGATACTAACCCAATATGGGAACCAGTTCATTTTCAAAGTAAGTTTACAGAAAAAAACTAAATCTGTCATTTTTCCATTCTCTCATTTTAAAGAAACATCATCTACCAGTTTCTTCCTGGTTCCAAATTGTTCTCCTTCTGCAAATGTTCAAGAGCTGAGATGATAAAAAAGTTAAAAACAGCTCATTTATAAAACAGTTACTACCAAAGTAATTCTCAGGAATAACACCTTATTTGAGTTAATTCCAAGGAAAAAGAGAATTTAAAAAACTGTGAACCACTCAACTGCATATCATAGAAACAGAGGTAAGGTGTAGAAAACTTCAAACAAAATGCCTTCGCAATTACTGGCTGATATGCTAATGTCACATATTTTCTTACAAAAGACTTTCAAAAAACAAGAAAAGCCCTGGCTGGTATAGCTCAGTTGGTTGGAGTGTCATTCCATACACTGAAAGGTTGTGGGTTCAATTCCCAGTCAAGGCACATACCCAGGTTGCAGATTCAATCCTGGTCAGGGTGCATATGGGAGGCGACCAATCAATGTTTGCCTCTAACATTGTTATTTCTCTCCCCCTCTCCCTTCCTCTCTATAAAAAAATCAAGAAAGCCCTTGATTTTTGGCTCAGCGGTTAGAGCGTTGGCCTGTGGTTCACAGAGACCCGGGTTCAGTTCCTGTTAAGGGCATGTACTTCAGCTGCAGTTTGTCCCCGGCCCTGGCTGGGCCGTGCGGGTGGTGGCCACTCAATGTGTCCCTTTCACAACGATGTTTCTCTCTTTCTCTCCCTCCTGCTCTATCAGAATAAAAAAATGGAAAAATGTCCTAGGTGAGTAAAAAAAAAAAACAAATCAAGAAAAATATTAAAAAACGAACAAACAAGACAAGAAAAGGTAAAATTAACCTTGTTAATTACTCCAAGAATCTAAAAGTAGAACATAAAACTGATCTTAACAGGGAGAAGTCTTTATTTATGAAAGAAAAAAATCACTCCAGGAAATAAAGAGAACACATATTAACTTAGTAATTTTCTATGAAAAAAAGTCTGCAAAAAATTCCATCTATAGGCAATCTACCATTTTTTCCAATCAACCTGCAACTCTTCCTCCTAATGGCCTCTTAAGGACCAAAAATACTTCCATTTATGAAGTCCCTAACAAGGTTGTCACTTAACCAAGTCCTCAAAAAATGGAATAAAGAAGAACAGCTATCACAGAAATATTGTTCCTCCTGTTAGCATGTACCTTCCAAAGGCAATCAGAGCTTTTCATAAAAATGAAATCAGCAGTCAAGTTTTTGAGGGGAGCCCTAAATTTGAAAGTCTTTAGAGCAATAAAGAATACCTATGATTATTGGAGGGAGATTTATCCCAATCATTTCTCAATCCAGATTCTACTAGCATTGTATTTTATGAAGTCTGCTTGTATCAGCCAAAGCAGAAAATAGAGCATAATGATACAGCTTTTATATTGGATAACTTTATGTACTTAATGTCAGTGAAAGCATTTTCCAATTTGCCTTTTTCCTCCTTTGACCCGGGTTTCTAGCAAAAAAAACAACCACCCTCTCGTTTATGGCACTGTAGAAAGAAAGGTTTTGATTTATAGTGAACAGTTTCACCTGTGATCATTATCCTGTAACCTATATGGTTATAAATCAGGAGTCGTCTATATTCAGACTTCAACTAATTCTACTTAAAACAATGAAACAATAATCTGGAAAGCAAATAAGAAAATGAATAACCTTTCTAAATCCAGTCTTTCTGCACTTTAGTAATGAAAGGAAGATTGGATTTAGAAATACCACATGATAAAAGGTCAGCTTAATACTAACAATAATAGCAGCAGCTAATACTTAGTCTTTGTGCCAAGCACTGCTCTAAGTGCTTAATATAAAGTCATTTAATACAACCCTTTGAGGCCGCTACTATTATCATTCCCCTTTTACAAAACAGAATCTGATGTTTATAGACTTTAAATAACTTGCCCAAAGTCTTACAGTGGTACAGCTGGGATTTGAACCCAGATAGTTTCCAAAAGCCCATGCTCATAACCATACTGCCTCTTCAAAAAAATCGGATGCTTATAGTCAATGACAAGTTTTCATGCTTTAACTCTGCCTTTAAAAAAATTTTAGGGGAGCCCTGGCCGGTTTGGCTCAGTGGTTGGAGCGTCGGCCTGCGGACCAGAGAGTTCTGGGTTTGGCTCCCGCTAGGGGCAGATACAAAAAAAAAAAAAAAAAGATTTTAGGGGAAGCATAGCAAATACATAGTATATAATGAAAAATTTGTTGAATGAGGAATACTATTACTGCAAAATTGCCACTATTACATATTCACATATAAACAAACATGTTTTCCTCCCAGATCTTAAAATCTATTCCATAAAAACCTTAGTGGCTCAGATTACTCATCTTCCTTTACACCAAAATTATTTATGAAACATCTGCTAGCTTTCTAATATTCTTTCAATTATGAAGCATTTCAAACTTTACTGAGGTCTTTATACAATGTTTACATTAAAACAAGCATGGATTTTAAATACCTAAAGGCAAATATATACAAAATACACACACAGAAAATCAGAGTTCATAACATCTTTACTCCCTCTAACCTAGAAGTTATCAATTGGAGGTGATTTTACCCCCTAGGAGACATTTAGAAATGTCTAGAGACATTTTTGGTTTTCACAACTGCACGTTGGGGAGATGTGCCATTGGCTCTAGTGGGCAAACATTCTACAATGTACAAGAGCCCTCCACATGAAGAACCATTTTGGCCTAAAATGTCAAGCCACATTAATCAAGTCCTAAATAAGACCAGGTATATTACTCAACTTATAGAACAAGTTCTGACCAGTGAGGGAGGCACTGAAACAAAATAATAGAATCTACAAAAACACTATTAAAGTAATAGAAAATCATTTCCTTGTATCCATTCCCCATCTAATGGACTGATAATACATAAAAAGGAAAGGGTAAAATTAACCCTTTAAATGATTCACCAGCTCTTCCCATCCTGAACTTTCACTTTGAAAACTAAAAATATTCAACATTTTACAAAAACTTGCAAGTAGCCCTGGCTGATTTGACTCAGCGGTTAGAGCGTCGGCCTGCAGTCCAGAAAGACCTGTGTTTGGTTCCCGCTAAGGGCACATACCTCGGTTGTAGTTTGTCCCTGGCCCTGGTTAGGTTGTGCAGGTGGCAACCACTCGATGTGTCCCTTTCATGTCGATGTTTCTCTCTCTCTCTCTCCCTCCCACTCTATCTGAATAAAAATGGAAAAATGTCCTCAGGTGAGGATAAAAAAAAAAAAAATTGCAAGTAAAGGAAAAATGGCAGATATTCCCTAAGTGATAACTGGTCCACCAATCAAACTTCAAATGCTTTATTCTCATTACATAATCCCCAACAAATTGAGAAAAAAGTGCTGGTCCTTAAACCCCTTGTTTTTCTGCATAAAACAGAATAAAATGGTTCAAAAACATCATAATTTATTAATATACTATGAAAAAAATTCTCAAAAAATCTGCTCCTTTATATGTTCCCGTTCAGGACATGCATCCCTCCCCATCCCTTCCCTTCCCACATGACCAACTCTAGTCAAGGTCCAGCTCAAATCCAGTCCACATCAACCTCACTCTTCTTTCTTGTTGTTAATCCTTACCCGAGGATCTTTTTCTGTGGATTATTTTTTAGATAGAGTGGAAGGGAGGGAGGGGGAGAGAAAGAGAGAAACATCAATGAGAGACACACATTGATTGGATGCCTCCCCACAGCCCAGACTGGGGCCAGGGAGCGAACCTGCAACTCAGGTATGTGCCTTTGACCAGGAATCAAATCTACAACCCGTCGGTCCGAAGGCTGATGCTCTAACCACTAAGCCAAAATGGCCAGGGCCCAATCTCACTCTTTTCCAACTTTTACACTCTGGCAGGACAATAAAACTAATAGCTGCTGCTTCTTTTTTTTTAAAATCCTCACCTGAGGTCTGGCCAGTGTGGCTCAGTGGTTGAGTATCGACCTATGCACCAAGAGGTCGCCGGTTCGATTCCTGGTCAGGAAACATGCCCAGGTTATGGGCCCAGTCCCCAGCGGGGGGCATGCAGGAGGCGACCAATCGATGTTCTCTCTCATAGATATTTCTAACTTTCTCTCCCTCTCACTTCCTCTCTCTCCAAAATCAATAAAGGAAATAAATAAATAAATAAATAAATCCTCACCCGAGGACATTTTTCCATTTTTATTCAGAGTGGGAGGAAGAGAGAAAGAGAAACATTGACGTGAAAGGGACACAGAGTGGCTGCCACCTGCACAACCCAACCAGGGCCAGGACAAAGTGCAACCGAGGTACATGCCCTTAGCAGGAACCAAACCTGGGTCTCTCTGGACCACAGGCCAACGCTCTAACCACTGAACCAAACTGGCCAGGGTAAAACTAATAGCTTCTGAAGTGAAAGAAAGGGTTTATACACTTAACTAAATGTCTTCAGAATTAAAAACAACCAATAAGAAATTGATAGTACCTAGAATCTGTTCTCTGGCTGTATCAGAGAACATCATATATTTATATAGCAGGAATATTTAACTCTCCCCAGGAAATTAAAAAAAAAAACAAAAAAAACCCCACAAAATTTTACCTCCTCTTCACTTTCTTTATCTTCATCCTCTGAAGACTCTTCCTTGTTTTTCTTTTCATCTTCATCACTGCTAGACTCATCTGACAGAATTTCAGGACATTTGGTTTGCTTTGCTTTCCTCGCCATTCCGGAACTGTTCCGTTCCTTTTTGTTGCCTTTGCTAGAAGTTTTTTTAGATTTTGGCAATGGCTGCATAAAATAAAATAAACACCAATGAGGTGTTATATTTCCAGGTCAATCAACTATTTGAGACCTATTTCTGAACTCAATTCTTCTTGCTCCTGTCTCAAAATATATTTCCAAGCTTAGCAGCTTTAGAGAATAATTCATCTCTAACTTAGTCAAATTAATTTTTTTTTTAATCCTCATTGGAGGACATTTTTCCACTTATTTTCAGATAGAGCGGGAGGGGGGGGGGAGAAAGAGAGAGAAACATCAATATGAGAGAGACACATTGAGCGGTTGCCACCCACACAACCCCAACAGGGGCCAGGGACAAACTGCAACCAAGGTACGTGCCCCCCCAGCGGGAACTGAACCCAGGACTCTCTGGTCTGTGGGCCGACGCTCTAACTGCTGAGCCAAACCAGCCAGGGCCAAATTAATTTTTTTGTTTGAACTACCAATATCCTTTCGTTTGTATTCTAAACACCTAAACAAGAGACTTCACAAATGTTTAAATACACATCCTATGTTCTGACATAGGAATAGAAGCTCAAGTACACACTGTGTTAAGCTCTGACAGTTTACACTTTATCAAGATAATACTTTGAATTAGACGTATAATTTATTTCATTCCTATAAACATTCGCCACTGGCAGAGAAGGTTCTTGTTTTAGGGGACCCTCCAATCAAAGGCCCTGGAAGAATCATCCATGAAGTAAATAAAACCTCATTTACACATCTTTCAATTTATGAACTAAATAATTTATAGTCATTTACCTCTGGGCTCTACTTTCAATAATGCCAGGATTATATTCTCATTGATGATTATAAATAGGCAGTAAGTACTAAGTATATTAATTATGAAACTAAGAACCACAGAGTAAGTGTACTTACTTTGATATTCAATTAAAACACATATTTAAAAGGAGATCATGTGAGGAAAATGGTTGTATTAACCAACAAATTTAATTTTTAAATACTTTTTTTTTTTTTTTCCCTCACCCGAGGACATTTTTCCATTTTTTTTTTGTACAGATAGAGTGGGAGGGAGAGAGAGGAAGGGAGAGAGAGAGAGAAACATCGACGTGAAGGGACACATCGAGTGGCTGCCACCCGCACGACCAACCAGGGCCGGGGACAAACTGCAACCGAAGTACGTGCCCTTAGCAGGAACCGAACCCGGGTCTCTCCGGACCGCAGGCCGACGCTCTAACCGCTGAGCCAAACTGGCCAGGGCTTAAATACTTTTTTAGGGTAGAATTTGCTAACTTCTAAAACTGAAAACCATAAAATAACCCTGCATAAAGGATCTGAAAAAATATATACTGATGAGTCAAAATTACTTATTTCCAAAAGTATGGGTATCTTTTGTTTTTATTTTTGCCTGTTATTTTCTGAAGTAAACAGAAACATTAAGAAAAATTCCATAATATAACCTTAAGATACTCAACTGTATAAATGTTAATGATAACTTTAGGCACTAGTTTATGAAACTAGTGAAACCACAGATCCCTTCTCTCCCAGGAACTTCTAGTCTTAGAGGTCATTGTAACCTATACAAAAATTAAGAAAACGTAGCTGCTTCTGTAACATGGTGTTCTCAGGCAATCTACAATGTACAGAATAGACCCTAACTTGCCCAAACAACCTACCCTTCATAAAGCAGACTGGGAAACAGCCAATCTACGTCACTCCAGAAATTTTCACTTAGTGGACCAAAGATATTTGTCAGAGGGGTTCTCTACAAGAATCTTGCTTGAATGAACAGATATCCTTGTTATGTGAACTATTACCATGACCAGGAAACAAATCCATTTAGATCAAGTCTTTGATATCACTGTTTGGAGAAAATATAACTGTCTAAACTCTCACTACTCACTGTATGAAATCCAGGGCTCAAATATGTTAGAAAAATATGACAATCCTCACTTTCCCAGCTCTGGAACTAGATGCCGATAGTGAGATTATTAATCTGCACAGGGAATTAGTAATATGAGGACTGGAATGGTTACTGAATAAACCTATACAGGAAAATAAAAACTGTTAAATCATTCAAATAACCAATCAAGAAAATGCAACTTCCAAAAATAAATAAGCTTTTAATTTAAAAAAATAGTAATAATAAATGTGAGAACTTTCCTATATTGGTTTTAAAATTAGTTGAATCAATTACTCAGAATCCAGTGTCAACAGCATCATCCCTTTTTATAAACAAAATCTGATTAATAAATAATCAAGGTAGGAGTACAAAAGAAGAGTAAAACAATGTTAAGTCAATAATATTAAGATCATTATAGAAGAAACAAAATTAGTTCTGAGTTTATAGTGTTTTCCATAAATGATGAAAGTGTATAGTAGCACAGAAAATACCTTAAGATACCACTAGATTAAGTAGTAATCAGAATCAAATATGAAAAATGGATGTAAGACTTAGATTCCTTAAAAAAGATAAAAACAGTGCTTCTGCCCTGCCCACTTTGGCTCAGCAGCTAGAGCGTTGGCCTGCGGACCAGAGTCCCGGGTTTGGTTCCCGCTGGAGGCACGTACCTCATTTGCCGTTTGTCCCCGGCCCCAGTTGGGGTTGTGTGGGTGGCAACCATTTGAAGTGTCTCTCTCAGGTTGTTGTTTCTCTCTCTCTCTTCCTCCCTTTCTCTCTCCTGCTCTATCTGAAGATAAATGCAAAAATGTCCTCGGGTGAGGATAAAAACAAAACAACTTCTCAAAGTGTGGTTAGTAGACCGGGGGGGGGGGGGGGGGGGGGGGGGGCGGCGGCACAGGTTTCCTGAGAATTTTTCAGAAGCCTAGAGGTCAAAACTATTTTTATTACACCAAGACACTTATTAGCTCTTTCACTGTGTTGACATTTATATTGATTACGCAAAAGTAAAGATGTGTAGAACTGCTGGTACCTTTCTACTTACTAATCAAGCAGAAGCAGCAAACTGTGCTAGTAGTCATTATATTCCTCACAACCACATACCAGCAGGGGGGAAAAGGTGTTTCCCTTAAAAATGTCTTTGATGAAGCAGTAAATATTAAGTGTTAATCAAACTTTTAGTACATCTTTAGAATATCTGTATAACAAAATGGGAGGTACAACAGAGTACTTCAGCTACAAATTGAAGTTCACTGGTTTTCTCAAGGAAATACACTTGCACTATTGAATTGTGACTTCAGCTAGTTACTTTTTTCATGGAACACCATTTTGAAAAGAATAATTGAGCCCTGGCCGGTTTGGCTCAGCGGTTGGAGCGTCAGCCTGCAGTCCAGAGAGACCCGGGTTTGATTCCCACTAAGGGCACGTACCTCGTTTGCAGTTTGTCCCCGGCCCTGATTGGGTCGTGTGGGTGGCGACCACTCGATGTGTCCCATTCACGTCGATGCTTCTCCCTCTCCCTCCCACTCTGTCTGAACAAGAAATGGAATGATGTCCTTGGGTGAGGATTTAAAAAAAAACAAAACTGAAAAACTATGCCTTCCTGGCCCAGCCAGTGTGGCTCTGTAGATTGAGCATCCTCCCATGGACTGAGAGGTCCTGGTTGAATTCCTGGTTAGGGCACATGCCCAGATTTGGGCTCAATCCCCAGTAGGGGGGCATGTAGCCAATCAATGTAGCTCTCTTACATCAATGTTTCTATCTCTCCCTTCCTTTCTCTCTAAAAAAAAAATCAGTAAAAATATATCTAAAACAAAACTATGCCTTTTTGTACTTAGACATTTGATAGACATGATCTCAAAAATGAACACAAAACTGCCAGTTCAAGGAAAGTAATCAACTATTTATGGCCAATAATAAATTTCAAACTTCAAGTGAAATTAGAATTTTGGAAAACGTCTACTACCGTGAACTTGACAGCTTCCCAATACCTAAAAATATTTCCAATGAGATGACGGCTGTACTAAATAAATAATATGACTTATTGACAGTGTTTAATGAAACATGCCAACATTTGGAAGATATATATAATTCAGGGAACCAATATTTCCCAAACAATGAATGCTTATTACAAAATCATGCATAGGTAAAAGGTCCAAGTTCATTAACATGATATCAGATACCATATTACAACTAACCTTTAAGAAACTACCACTGTGAAGTTTTGATGTTGTATCAAAGGAGAATATCCACAATTTTTAAAAAAGATTTTAAAATATTCCTCCTTTTTCTGACTATACACCTTTGTGAGGCTCAGTTTTCTTCACATACTTCAAGCAAAATACACTGCAATAAATTGAAATGCAGAAGCAAATGAGAGTATGGCTGTCTTTAAGTCAGACGTGAACAGATTTGAGAAGACAAATTTGCAAATATGCTGTTTTTTAAAGTAGTTATTTTTCATACAAAATATTACTTTTGTTAACATGTAGTGAGCTTACTGTTATTTTAGAACTCTTCGGTTTTATTTTATTTATTTTGCTTAAATCCTCACCCGAGGATATTTTTCCAATTATTTTCAGACAGAGGCGGCTCAAGGAGGGAAAGGGTTAGAGAAAGAGAAAGAGAGATGTTGATGCTGAGAGAGAAACATCAATTGCTTGCCTCCTATACAACCCCAACCTGGGCCAGCGACAGAACTGCAACTGAGGTACATGCCCTTTACCGGAATCAAACCCGTGACTCTTTGGTCTGTCGCTCTAACCACTGAGCCAAACCGGCCAGGGCTAGAATTTTTCAGTTTTAATTTAGAATACAGCCCTGGCCAGTTTGCTCAGTGGTTAGAGGATCAGCCAGTGGACCGAAGGGTCACAGGTTCAATTCCTGATCAAAGGCATATATATACCTGGACTGCAAGTTTGATCCCTGACCCCGACCAGGAGTGTGCAGGAGGCAACCAATCAATGTGTCTCTCACACATCCTTGTTTCTCTCTTTCTCTCCACCTTTCTCCCCCCTTCCACTCTATCTAAAATAATAATTTAGAATACGGAAAATATCAAAATGACCCATGTAAATAAAAGTTCTTGGGGGTCCTCTTTAATTTTTAACAGGGTAGTAGAGTCCTAAAACCAACACATTTGAAAATCACTGAGGAAAAGATGAGTAAATAATATACTTCATAACTTAGGCAACTTAGTAATTGCTTCTGGGGAAAATGTTCAACTTGTCACATGAAATTCTAAAGTAGAGGTATAGCCATAGAAGTATTTAAAAAACAGAAATATAATCTCTCATCTTTAAATAAGCCAATCTGAAACACTAAAAAAAAAAAATCACTATACCCCCTTGGGTTTGTAGCTATATAATACAAATATCATTTATGTCCTTGTCCAGATAATGGTAAACAGGACTAAGAGCAGACAAAAACAAAGTTCAGAGTTATTTTCTAGTTTCTAATCTTTCCCCCTTGCTGATGGTGTTCCCCTGAACCCCTAGGAAGTCTAGGATGATTTCACAATTTTCCTTCCTCTCAAAATGAGGAATATAAAAATACTTGCTGACAGACTTAAAACAAACTGAAAAATCAAGGTCATATAAGTAACACTTTGGTAGACACTTTAAGTCAAAGATGCTATTTGCTACTATTAAACAATTAGGAAAAATCTAATCTAGATTTTAGAAAGAGTATACTATAAGGCCATTTTAAATCTCTGTCCAGCTCCTGGGCTTTGCAGAGGATTCTCAAAACCAAATCCAAGAAACTTATTAAGAGTTACCTTTATGTCGCCCTGGTCAGTTTGGCTCAGCGGTTAGAGCGTTGGCCTGCAGTTCAGAGAGACCTGGGTTTGGTTCCTGCTAAGGGCATGCACCTTGGTTGCAGTTTGTCCCCGGCCCTGGTTGGGTTGTGCGTGTGGCAACCACTTGATGTGTCACTTTCATGTCGATGTTTCTCTCTCTCCCTCCCACTCTATCTGAACAAAAAAATGAAAAAATGCCCTCGGGTGAGGATTAAAAAAAAAGTTACCTTTATGTCACTTTTACATAACTTTATTCAAGTATCTAGAAAGCACCCAGTTCTAATACACCCTATGTTGTTTTTCGTGACCTGATTTCAGGTTGCACACTGGCCCAACACCTCATTCTCAACTCAACCAGTTTCTGTTCTTCCAGTGCATTCTAGATATATAACTCTAGATACTTAGTTTGTATTTCTGTCCCATCTGATATATTAATTAATAATTACTTTGCTTGATCTTACAGCTTTTATATCTGATAAGGGAACATATCCATATGCCTTCTATGTTATTTCTATCTTGACACTGTTGCAGATAGATCAAAGAAGGGCATATTCTTTGAATATAAACAATATTACTGAATATTGACAGCAATGCTAACTAAATTGTACCATAAAAAAGACAAAGTGCCCTGGTAGGGTGGCTTAGTTGGTTGTAGTGGCATCCCATACACCAAAAGGTGGCAGGTTCGATTCCTGGTCAGGGAACGTACCTAGGTTGTGGGTTAGACCCCTGGTTGGGCATGTACAGGAGGCAACTGATTGATGTTTCTCTCTCACATCAATGTCTCTGTCTCTCCCATACTCTCTCTCTAAAAATCTATAAAAACATTCCTCGAGTGAGGATTAAAGAAAAAGACAAAGTAAGGAGAAGCTATAAATAATTGATTTGTTACTAAAATAATACAAATTGGTCCTTACTTTTCCAGAAGGCTTTGGATGCATTAAGAAATTCAAGATCCTCTTCACCAGTTCACTATTTACACCTGATCTCTCCAAATCAAGAACCTCACAGATGCTTTTTAACATGGCATTTCTGAATCTGAAAAAGAAAATAAACCAAGGTGATTATGTATGAAAGTTTATAAACAGTCTCCACAATATAAATATAATAGCTGCCCAGCCAGTGTGGCTCAGTGTTTGAGCTTTGACCCATGCACCAAGAGGTTGCTGGTTCAATTCCCAGTCAGAGTATATGCCCAGGTTGTGGGCCCAATCCCGGGGGGGTTTGGAGGCAGCCAATTGATGTTCTCTCTTATCGATATTTCTCTCTCTCTCTCTCCCTCTAAAATCAATAAAGAAAAATAAATGCAACAGCTAACCATACTGGTTAGGCTACAAACATTTAAAAAGTACCCTAATGTTTCTCTAAATCTTAGAAGTGCTCCTAATAATCTTTTATTAGTGTACAAATACAACCAGATTAGAGTATTAAAAAACTGAAAACACCATTTACCAATTAAATTTTAAAGGTAGTAAAAGAATACCCAAATTAATTCACCAGAAAATACTGTAGAAAGTTTTCACTATAAAATTTATGGACTTGATCATTCATTTTTCTGGCTGCTGTCATTAAATATTACATTTTCCACACAGCATTCCTACTATAATGTTTCAATGAAGGAATAATCATCTTTATTATTTAGAGTTGTTTTTTTAATGCCAGGTGGCAGAATTTTATGGTTTTAGTAACACAAATACAACGTGTACACAATCTGTCTATTCATTTTTGCTATGGAGCCCGGCATTGGAACTGGTCTCTCTGATGGCCAGCTGGGCTGCTCTTTCCACAATGGCTTTGTGGTTCTTTGAGGATATGCTGTGAGCAATCTCAACAAAGTGAGATCTGCTGCACATCAGCAGCACTTCAAGCTCCTTGATGTTGTAGACCAGAAACTTCCAAAAGCCACTGAGTAGCATTGTGCTTTGTTTTCTTATTGCTCCCATAACCAATGTTGGGCATCAAGATCTGGCCCTTGAATCTTCTACCATTAATTCCTGTGGGTTTCCACCAGTTACACTTAAATTTGACACATCAGTCTGACTGGTGCCAGATGAACTTCTTTTTGACAATCTTGGGTTTCTTGGGGGGGGCGGGGTCTGAGGGCAGTGATAGTGCCAAGTAGGAGATGGCTGTCACTTCCATAGGCAGCACCAAGGAAGGGAATTATTCACAGGTCTTAAACTACAGGGATTTTAATAAATAAAAGCTCTAATATATCATCTTGCTTGTATTATGGTGAAGGACAAAGTTTCTAACAAATTGATTTATTCAAAATAGTAGCTTAAATGGTACTTATAAGTGGAGGAACACAGTGGCTAATAGGACAGGAATGAGAGAAAGTTTTCACTATATTCCCTTTAGACTGTGTGAAATTTGGACTGTGAACAGTATACTTAGGTGTATCGTTATTTTTAAATGAAATTTTAAAAATAAAAATGCCTTTGTGTTCTTAATAATCTTGATAGCCACTATTTATTGGAAAATAATGAAGATCACAAGTAATAGTTATAAAGACAAATCAGGCCTTGGCTTAAAGCAAAGAATTAGCTGTCTACTAATAATGTATGGGTGATCACACTAAATGTTTAAAAATAGAATTTAATGCACACTGATCAAAACATGATATATATAAAAATAACTTACTTTTTCAACATTTCTTCCTTCTTTTTATATTGGGTACTTCCTTTTTCAAATGGAAAACCACTGAACTGACCCACATTCTTCTTTAATGAGGACACCTGAAAATGTTTCTCTTATTATTAATGCTACTTTTACCCAATAATGTACACAAAAAATTCAAAGCCAACATCTTCCTTTTCACATCTGTCTCTAAGTTACAATATTGGCTTATATAACATTTCTTATTCACACTTAAAAACTGTATTTATTACTAAAATATTAACATTATATATATATTTTTTAATTTATTTTTATTGACAGTATTATAGATGTCCCTGATTTCCCCCACTTTGTCCCCCTCCACCTGGCCCCTACCCTACCCCAGGCCTTCACCACACTATTGTCTGTGTCCATGGGCTATGTATATATGCATATAAGTTCTTTGGTTAATCCCTCCCATCCTTCCCACTGAGATCTGTCAGTATATTCCATGCATCCATGCCTCTGGAATGATTCTGTTGGTCAGTTTATGTTGTTCATTAGATTCCACATGTAAGTGAGATGATGGGATATCTGTCTTTCTCTGACTGGCTTATTTCACTTAGCAAAATAATCTACAGGTCCATTATAAAAGGCTTACAAACTTAATTGTTTTGAAAGTGACAATTTGAATAAACTTTCATCTGGAAATTTTTACTGTTAATCATAAAATCAAAACTAAATGTTATCTGACAGTGCCAGGGAATATGGAAAGTTACTACTTAAAAAGACATCCTTTCCCTCAGAAATACAAGTAATATTTCTTATTTTCCAAAAAAAAAGTCAGGGATTTCATTCTTTGAAAAGTAAAGAACACAGCACCTCCAAAAGTTGATACCATTTAACAATAATGGGACTTGTGTAAATTAGATGGCTGTGTGGATCATGAGATGACACAGATGAAAATAAATTATACCACGCTTCAGAAATTCTAACCTAACAAAATGTCCAACTTTACTTTTGCCCATGCACAATCCCAAAGTAATTTCCTCAATTAAGTTGTATGTATAGTACAGAAGACCCCATCCATGGATACTGCAGTCTGAAAAGATTGTAATTCCAGAAATAAGTAATTCTAGTTCATAAGTTTTACACACTATTCTAAGTAGCTTGATGAAATCTCAAGGCATACCACAGGGATGTAATACATCCTTTTGTCCAGCATATCCAAGATCATGACTGGATGCCTAAAACAAGTTAGTATTGAACCCTACTATGTTTTTTCCTACATATATGTACCTATCATACATATAAATTAGGCAAAATAAGAGATTAACAATAATAACCAGTAATGATAAAGAATTATAACAATATACTGTAGTAAAAATTATGTAAATGGCTTTGGGATCATTAAGTAAAATAAGGGTTACTTGAACAAAAGCACTGTGATGCTGAGAGTCAATCTGATAGCCAGCCAAGATCCCCTACTAAGTGACTAAAGAGTAGGTAAGGTATACAGCATGGATACACTGGACAGATTCACGTCTCAGGCAGGACAGTGTTAGGATTTCATCATGCTACTCAGAGTGGCATGCAATTTAACGCTTATGAATTTATATATGGAATTTTCCACTTACTATTTTGGATCACAGCTGACTACAGGTAACTAAAAGTATGAAAAGCAAAACCGTGGATAAGGGGGGACTACTGTGTATGCTTCCTGCCCGTTAATCACTTAGTAGCTGGCTCAGAGGGACAGTGGTGGTATCTCAGTGCTTGTGTTCAAGTAACCCTTATTTCATTTAATAATGGCCCCAAAGTGCAAGAGGAGTGATGCTGGTAATTCAGATATACCAAAGAGAAACTGTTAAGTGCTTCCTTAACTGAAAAAATGAGTACTATACAGTACAATAAGATATTCTGAGAGACCACATTCACATAACTTTTATTATAGTATATTGTTATCATTGTTCTATTTCATTATTGCTTATGGTTCATTTCTTACTGTGCTTAGTTTAAAAATTAAACTTTATCATAAGTATCTATATATAGGAAAAAACAGTATGTTTAAGTTCAGTACTATCCATGTTTCAGGCATTCACTGGGGGTCTTGGAATGTACTGCATGCAGGTAAGAGAAGACTACTGTAAAATAATTCAGTAAGTTAAACTGATTTATTTGAACCAATCTACTGGAAAAGAATTACCACCTAATTTATCAGATATTTGCTCAAAATGATATATAATACTTCATTTATTCTGAATGACTAAAAAAAAAAAAAAATCCAAAAAATAATTTCTTATATAATTAAAAACCACTAAGATCACAGTTTGACATTTTACTAAGGCATAAAAATGATTTCCATAGAAAGAGCACTGGATATAGCAATCCTAATTGCCAATATCCAGCTATGTATCCTGTTATAAGTCATTTAAAAACTATGTGTCTCAGTGTATTCACTTGTATGGTAAGAAAATTGAACTAATTGCTAAAGTCCTCTCTAGGGCTAAAATTATGCTTCTATTATTAAGTATTTGACTACATATATATACTACTAGGTTAAAGGTATAAAAATGGTCTTACTGTGCCTGGTCTGTTGTAAAGTAGTTTATGTAGATTTCTTAGTTCATCTGTTTTCTTCTTACTCAGAAAGAAATGTATCCTTTCAATTTCACACAGTTTCTGCCCCTTTCCTAGAAAAAAAATACAATAATTAAAGTTAAATATCATTGTATTAATACACTTACAAATTTTAAAATTACTTTTACAGCATAATTTACATAACTTGCTTTAATAATGCAAACTAAATAAAATAATACCAATAATATATTACTACTTAGTAAACACTTAAAACTAAGCACTGCTAATCATCATTTTGTATATTTAGGCATTTTCACCATAAAAATGAAAGAACACAGAATAAACTTACCTTGTGCAATTGTAAATGGCTCTCTTTGTAAAGAAGAGACTTGCATTGTCAACCTCTCTACTTTTTTCTTTTCCCTCTTGCCTTCCACGATGAGACTCTTTTCTAGAAATTAATTTAATACTTCTTAAATAACAAAAAGCTTAAAGAGTATATTAACTTTATTGGATAAACATGTAGAAAATAATCAAAGAAACCTAATACCATACTGTTCTCCTTAGCAGGATTTTGAGAATAACATAACAGAGATGAAAATAGTTGATTGGTTAATAGCAACACCAAATTTTTTTTTAGAGTAACATTATACTTACCTGGCAATCTTACAGGGGATCCAATTTAAAAAACAAACAAACAAACAAAAAAACAGAAAGCAAACAAATTTCAATCCAACTACAATCATTCCTATGAAAGTCCAATCACTGTGAAAAATCATCAACACCCTGACTTAGCCTATTTCTTTGATTAGACATATTTCTATGAATTGAAATTTAGTTTATGTATCTCAGAAAACAGTTAGTTTAGAACAAGATTATAAGAACGTCAAAAGATATACAGAGAAAAGCAACAATTTAGTAAGCTGACAAAAGAGAAAGACCTTAAGTAAGGCAAAGCAGCCGGGAATTACTAAAAATAGGGTAAAATTCTATAAATTTACATTTACTGCAATCAACCGGGAAGGCATTACTTTGTAGTTTAATAAATGATGTTCATAATTATGATCATAAATCATTCCAAAAATGTTAAATTCTGTTTAGTTCAGACTTTTTAAAAGAAGCTGGACAATATAGAACATATACTTTAAAACTTAAAACACTAAGCCTGTTTTTCTAAAACCACTTATCTACTGACTGAGATAAAGTCAGATAAAGAGGACACCACACTGTATTGTTGGAGATCCTTCAAATCATTTAACTGAATGCTTGTTTTGTGGAAAGCTGCATTAGCTACTAAGGGAGGGTTGAGGAGATGATTAAGACATAAACTATCTTTTAGAAGATCATGTTTATTGGGGGTGGGGGGTGTAATGAAACACAAATATCATACTCCAATGTAGATGATGACAGAATGCCTTTAACAAAGACACAAATAGAGTCCTGAGAGTTGAGGCAAGAGTCATTATCTTTGGATTAGGGAAAAAGGGTCAAATCATTGGAGGACAGGTAAGAATTGGAAATGTAAGGATAAGCACAGAAAGAATTAGGAGAAATGGATTCCAGCGGGTAAATTCTGGCAATGGTGTACAGAAGATAAAGCACTCAAAAAACAACAACTGTTATCACTGCTTCCTTACCATGAGTGATTTAAACCATTTGAGTTAGATTACCATCTATAAGCTAATAGTTTTCCCGGTTTATCTCCAGTCGAGAGTCCCCCTACCCCCAGCTTCAACTAACAGGGCTGCCAACTGGACAGCTCCACTTCATGTCCTACAGGTACCTAACTGAATGCATCCAAAACAAAAGTCATAATCATCTCTGGGCTCACTCACCTTCATGAATTCTATTTTTCAGAGAATGGTAATACTATCCACCCAGCTGCCAAAGACAGAAATCTAGGAGTCATCTTTTACTAGGCATCCCCCCAACCCCTGCCAAGAAAAACATTCCCAAGTTAAGTCAATTCTATCCCTTATTGGGCACAGACTTTCACTGCCTTGCTTCTTTTATGCCTCAGTAGTAAGTAGACTTAAATTTTCAGAGCTAAGTAAGATAAAAGCGTTCAGAATTTTAGTTGTTCCAGTTAACACCTAAAATAAGGGGAAAATAATAAATTAGAACTATAAGCTGCTTGGGAATTTTTTTTTTTTTTTTTTAATTTTCATGTTGAAATCCATTATTCCTGTGGCATCCAAACCCAAGTCATCTCTTAAAAAGACTTAAAAAAATTTTTTTTTATTTGAGGAAAAAGTGCTGAGAAAGTCTTGGACTATTAGCTATTACAGGCAATTTTGTTATTGTACTATAATTTTAAAAATAACACTATTTTCTAAGCATTTTTGTACTTACATGTAGACTTGCTCCCTTTTTACAGCACCTACCACTTCAAACTAACAAAAGGCAGACCATTTGGTGGGAACTCATGCCAGATTTTTAGAAATGCTGACGACGGCCTAATTTTGGTTTAAAAGGAATTAAGCATTAAACCTGCTTTGGGGCAGAAAACTTCAAATGTCTTGCCAAGTTTGGCTGAGCTGTAGCCGTCCATTAAGTAAACCTACATTGGGCTGACACCGTCCAGGGATGTTGAGCTCTCTAACAATGATCTCTAGGACCTGGAAACTTCCTAGGAGCTGGCACACTTGGAGGCACTGCCCTGTGTAGTGTTCGGATGGCCGCAGATGCAGCACCCTCAGTCAGTCACGCCTCCAGTCCAGAGGCTAACCATGCTCTCCCTCAACACCAAACCCCGCCGAGCTCCTCCCTCCCTTCCCTTCACAGCTCACTGCGTCCACGTCTCACTACAGCACTTTCTCAAGCAGCGAGAGCTTTCACCGCGGCTTCCCGTGAAAGTAACTCCCCGAGCCCTCTGGAAAGGACCTCTACTGAAGTTCAGCAAATAAATTAAAATATTTCCAGGACTAACATGAATAACTCAGTGTGCCGTTTCACGCAAGACCTTACTCTCACCTCAAAAGGCAAAAGATGGGCACCTGCATTATCAAAAGATTAAAATAAAACATTACCTTATTAACGTCAAAGGCTAAGAAAAACAGATCTGAAACTTACAAACTTCCTGTCACATGACGAAATGTTATGAAAGTAAAATAAAGGTGGGAGGTCAACTGCCCTCCAAATTACATAGTAACGACGCTAACAAGTCTGTTTTTTAAAAACTGGAATGCACAGTTAATCGTCTGCCACCGCTCAACACAAACACAGATGAATTTCGCATTCTTGCTGAAAACCTCTCCAATGTAGTGTCCAAGCGCAAAGTGGGCAAGAAAACTGTTTTGTGTAAAACCCATCACGCGGGGCCCGGGCTTCCCACCTTTTTCCTCCTCCTCATCCTCGTCGTCGTCCTCCTCGTCGTCGTCCTCCTCCTCCTCACTTTCCTCTCTCGGGCCGGGAATCTCGGGCTCCTTCTCGGCCGCGGGCTGGTCCGGGGCTCCCTCTCCCTCCGCGGCAGGCCCCGAGGAGGACATGCTGTCGACCTGCGGGCGGGAGGACGCCAGGCGTCTCGGTCTCCTCGCCCCCCGCGGGAACACCGGGCGGCCCCCAACAATTCCGACCTGCACAGCCCCGGGAGCAGGGGGCCGCGGGAAACCCGACCTCAAAGTTGCCTCCTCCGGTAGCGGGAACGGCGGAGCTCCCTCCCCCGGGGCGGCTTCCCTCCCGCTCCGCCCGGGCTCCGGGACTCCGCGAGGCGGGAACGCGCGGGGCCGAGCCGCCCCTCCCACCCCGGCCGCACCGAGTCCCCTCCCCCCGCCCCAGGCCGCCGTCCAAATGGCCGCGGCGGAGCGGCCGGGCCCCACGGCGCCCTCTCGGCCTCCCTGCCCCACGCAGCCCTCACCGCGGGTCCCGGCCGCCGCGGGGCTGGCGCGCGTGGGCACAAGGAGGCTTCGGGAGGCGGCGGCGGGCGCAGGAGAAAGGGCGCGCGGGACGCTGTCTGGCGTGACGCTCGCGCCGCGCTCTCCGCTCCCCAGAATCAACAAGATTTTCAAAATGGCGGTTCGGGCAAGAAAGCGGGAATGCGGCGGCCAATCAGGGCCGCGAGCCGGGAGTTGGCGCGCGCGGGTGGGGAGGCGGGGCCGGCCGGGCGCCTCCGCGGGAAACCCGGCGGGGCGGGGCGGGGCTGCGCTGCGAGGGGTCGCCTCGCCCCGGGGCGGGGGCCGCGCGCCTTTGGCCCGCCTTGGGGTGCGTCCGGCCCGTGGGCCGCGTCCGGGCGGCGCTGGCCCGAAGGACGCTAGGGGGCCTGCGTGGGTATTGTCTCCACGGCTGTTCCGGGAGCCCAGGAGGCGCGGTCCCGGGCCGGGGACGGGGCGGCCGCTGGCGGTAGAGAAGTTGACAGACCACGGAGTCGCCGTCTTCAGTATTTCAGGCACGGAGGGGGCTTACGGGGTGAGCGATCCCATTTAGGTCCCAGAGTTGCTGCGGGTGAGGACTCCCGATTCCGCCCGTCGCCCGCGGGGTGCCCCGCCAGGAAAAGGACCCCGTCGCGCTGGAAGTGCGCGTCCCCAGACAGGTTTCCAGACTAAGCGTAGGGGGCCATTGTGCGTGTGCCTGGGTGTTTACTATAACGAAATTAGGTTGCCCGTCCAGACCTCCCAGACTTCTAGGCCAGCTCCGCAGATCTTCAAAAGTCAACATTTCAAAAACTGAACGCAGTTTTTCTCCCCCCTCGAATGCTCTCCCTTTCGGTACGTGATTCCCGTCATGTTTCCCAACTACTGAACCGCTGGCTGCCCAAGGGATCCTTTTACGCCATGGATTTAGCGGAAATATGATACATCCAAATACAAAAATAAATTTGTCCGAATGGATTCCCAGTGGCAGGGCAAAATGAGACTTTTTTTTTTTTAAATCCTCTTTTCCTTTTGTGCCCCTACAGAAAACATATGCAAATCTTGTCATTTCTACCCTCACATTTTCTACCATTTCCCACTCCAGTGAGGCCATTCAAATCCTGTCCTCTCTCTTCTTTTGCGTGGATTTCCACACAGCTTGTCACTCACTAGTCAGGCGGCTTCCACGTTGTCATCCCCATCACCCACGAGTTACATCAGCCAAGGTGTTGTTTAAATTAGATTGGGTACTTTCTTGCTCAAAACTCGCCAAAGGCTTCCCATCACACTTGGAATAAAATTCAAAATACACTGGTTTATAAGGTACTACGTAATTCAGGCTGACAGTCTTGATCTCATCTCTCCAACACAGTTGGCTATTTCAGCCACACAAGCCTTCTTACGTGTTTCTCCATAAAGCCAAGCTCATTCCTACCCTTACTTACTTTCCACTTACTTTTTTCTGCTTAACTGCTTTTGCCTCATAATCTTCAAATGATTTGCACCTTCACATAATTTAGCTCTATGCTCAAGTGCTTCTCCTTACTTAGTACCATCACTGTTCCCTTCCTATTGTTTTTCATTCATTCATGTATTAATTCAGAACTTATATTGAACACCTACTCTCTGCTCAGCACTAGGAAGCTAGAAAGCAGGACTAAGGAACATCTTGTTAATGACATTTGAAAAGAAATCTTAAGTATAGGAGAGCAGTGAAGAAAGATTATATATTTTAAAGAATTCTACCAAGTATTGATGGGGGGCTATAAGAGACAGAGAAGTTAATGACTTTGGATTTTTGGTTCAATAACCAGAAGAATCAAGTAGCTATTTGCTGAGACGAGGAAGACCTTAGAGTTGGGGAGACCATGTAGGGTTTTGGGGTGAGGGGTGTGGAATGGGTGATGAAGAAGAGGTTCAGCTGTTTTGTTTCAAATATGTAAGGTTTGAGATTCCTGTTAGCATCTAAAGGAGATTCAGAATAGGCAGCTGGATATAAGAGTCTGGCATTCAGAGGAAGAAGCTCTAGCTCAAGATATAAATTTAGCAGTTGTCAACCTGTTGATGGTATCTAAAACCCTGAGACCGGATGAGATTGCTAACAGAGTGAATATCGGTAGAGATGATGAAAGCGTCGATTGAGATTGTACCTTGGAGCTCTTCAGTGTTTAGAGGTTCAGGAGAGGAGGAGGAAGCAGCAAAGGAGATGAGAAGGAGAAACTGTAGCCAGTGAAGTGGGAGGAGAATCCAATGAAAGTGGTGTCTCAGAAGCCAAATATGAACAAGTGTCTAAGAGGGAGAGGGTGATTAACTGGCGCAGAAGCTGCTGAAAGGTCACAGGAGATGAGAACTGAGAATTGACCATCTGATGTAACAATGATGAGTTGTCAGTGACACTGACAACAGCTATTTCTGTGGGGTAGGGATTATGAAGGTGCCAAGGGTGGAGATATAGAGAGACAAGTGGCGAGGAATGAATTCAGACACTCTTTTCAGGAATTTTGCTGTTCAGGGGGGCAGAGAAATGGAGCAGTTAGCTCAAAGGGCATTTAGTGTTAAGGGAGATATTACTGTATGTTTATGGGATGATGGGAATGAATCAGTAGAGAGGGGGAAATTGATGAAAGATGGAGGGGCAGTAGCTGGAGCTGAGTGACTTACATATGGTAGGTGTGTCAGTTGGGTTCTCTGTAAGCAGATGCTGAAGCAGAATTTGAGGTGCCGGGTATTTATTAGGGATCAGTACCTGTGAAAGGAAGAGGAGAAGCAGGATTGGACAGAGGAAGAAGTCCAACTGTGAATCAGACCTGAAGAAGCCTCAGCCAGCCCTGTGGAGAGCTCTGGAGTGAGTACTCCTCTTCTGAGTGTTCTGCATGGCTGGGCTTTTATACTCCAACTTTACTTAGTCACTGTATGCAGGCTATCCCAGGAAGGACATGACCTCCGGTGAAGTGACTCCATTGCTGTAACACACCCTGAAGAAGCTGATGGAGGCCATTGACTGCAGGCTCTGCCACTGGGCAGCAGGCCCTTCCTTGAAGGGAGATCTAGGCGGCACATTTCCATGTTTACCACAGGAGATAAGAGGCAACAGAATCTAGTGTGCAAGTGGAGGAATTGTCCTTGGATGAAACAGTGGACAGTTTCTACAGGGTAACAAGAGGAAACATGGAGGATACAGGTACCAGCGCTGGGTGGGGTTGGGCAGATGTAGTGGAGTTTAGAACTCCTTATTCCATTAACTTTCTCAGTGAAATCAGGAGCAAAATCATTGACAGTGAGTGAATGTGGGAGAGGACTGTGGGAAGTTGAGCTAGTTTGGTAGGAGAATGGGGGATGGATGGATTAGGGAATGTAATATGGTTGCCAGGAAGTTGCAAGGCAGACCCAGTGAGAATAGTGGCCATGAAGTCAAAGTGAGACCAGTCAGGATTGTTGTTTTTCTCCAGCCATATTCAGCTACCCAGGACTAGGTGTGAAGATGGCAGAGATTTGGATTTAATTAGGTTAGGATTTTGCCAGGTAAGTGTGAAGGCAGGAGAGAAGGGTACATACATTGAGTATATGGGCAGGACAGTGAACATGATAGTGCATAGAATGTGAGTTGAATAGGGAGGAAAGTAAGGACATGAGAGAGGTGAGACTTAGTGAAAATGGAGCAAGATCACAAAGCAAGATCTTTATATCTTTGTTGCATTTATAACTACCTGAAAATGTTATTGTCTGTCTGGTAAAACAGTCAATTCCTTATAGCTGCAGGGACTGTCTTATTCATCATGGTATTCTCAACACCTGAAGTGGGGGCCACACACATAGTAAGTGGTCAGTAAATATTTGCCAAATGAATGCAAACCAACTTATTAAACTCTTATTATGAAGATTCAGGACATTTCTTGTTTAATGAGATGGTATATTAGGATAAGACGGGTTATTTCAGCAGAAGTTTATTTCTCTGTAAAGCTTTCTGTTGGTTCAGGCAACTCCCCAGGGCTTCCATTCATGTGGTCTATTTATTTCTTTAGGCTCCTTTGATCTTATAGATCCACTATCTCAACACAGGCCCTTGGTGTTCATGGTGGTAGGGGAAAACAACAGGAGGAGAACTCATTCCTGCTCTTCTATGATTCTGCTCATTGGTCATGGCCAAATCAGTCATATGACCCCACCTAACTGCAAAGAATCTAGGCAATATGGGGCACACATGGAATAGCTGGTGAGCTTTGCTGTCTCTGCACAGAAGGGGATAATAACTGCAATCAGATAAGGTACAACTGGGGTGAACAGGGAATGTGCCTGAAAATATGTTTGTTTTATTTTTTGTTCCATTTTTACAGAGAGTGGAAGAGAGGAAGGAAGGAAAGAGAGAGAGAGACATGGATGTGAGAGAGACACATCAATTGGTTGCCTCCCACATGCACCCTGACCAGGGATGGGGATTGAACCTGCAACCCAGGTACATGTCCTTGACCAGGAATCAAACCTGTGACCCTTCGGTGCTCAGGCTGACACTCTAACCACTGAGCCACACCAGCCAGGGCATATCTGTTAGTTTTATTTTAGAAATATGGGTGGAGCAAAAGTAGGTTTATAATTGTTCCTATGGAAAATAATATAATTAATAAATAATAATATAAGAATAAACTCTGTTTCTCATCCTCACAACAGTAAACCTTCTTTTGCCCTACCCTGTACTAAAACCTGGATTCTTTTTTTTTTGCTTTGAGAAGTTTTTATATACACTGCACATATATATATATCAGTCTTTGTCATACATATATCTCTAGCTCTTACATACACATATCTATTTTTCCCAGACTATAATCTTCATAAGCTTCATGGATAGAGACCATGTTCATGCTATTTATTCTCTTGTAGTACTTGGCACAGTGCCTAACACATAGCAGATACCTCAAAAATATGTGTTTGATTGAAATGCATCCCCTTTTAGTTCTTAGACAGTGGCATCAGTCTGTTGTCTGGATGCTATTTAAAGACCTTCCAGCAATATCAACTCAGTGACTTGAGTAAGCTGAGGACTGAATTCTTATTTAAACCTGTTCATAAATATAAATATAGTAACACACTTGGTTCTTCTAAAAACAAGATATCATACTCTATTTTGGTAGAAAGAATTAACTAAAGTACACAATTTAGTAATTTGAGATTAGGTTGAAAATATGTGAATGCAGCAATGTCCAGTTGGTTGCTAAACTGGATATTCTGTCTGACAGTGGCCAGGGAAGACTATTCAGGGTGATCAGTAGGAGAAAATGAGAGAAATGGTGGTGAGACTTATAAAAGTCAGAGAGCAAAGGATAAGTGGTTACCAATTTGGGGCCCTAAGGCCAATTTTTCTCTAAATTTAGCAAGTATAATTTGTAACATATCAATAATACATTCTTACCAACTCTTCCATGGAATGAGACCCAAGAAATAGAGAAGCATAGAGCTTTGGTATCATCTATTTCCTTTGTCCACTGTAAAATAACATCATCTCTGTTGAAGGGGGTGCTTCTGCATATGGACTAACATTTAATGCTTAGATTACATTTAATGCTTAGATTACATTTAATGACACCACTGTTGGCTGAATCAGAACATCAGAGTTAGTAATATGTTCTCCACTGCAAGTTGGCTAGAAATATTCAACATTTTGACAAGATTATCAAACTGGGATGTTATCTTAGAAAATAGATATGTCTAACCTGGCCATTGTGGCTCAGTGGTTGAGTGTCGACCCATGCACCAAGAAGTCCCCAGTTTGATTCCTGGTTGGGGCACATGCCCAGGTTGTGGGCTTAAGCCCAGTGGGGGGGCATGCAGGAGGCGGCCAGTCGATGTTCTCTCTCATCGATATTTCCATCTCTCCCTCTCTCTCTAAAATCAATAAAGAAAAAAATTAAAAGAAAATAGATATGTCTAGATCACACCCATGTTCAACAGTCTCAATTGGCTCCCCATTACACATAGGACAGCATTTAAACCTGCAAAAAATTGTATGACAGTCTGAGCCCTAACTTACTTGTCTAGCTTCCCCACTTATTCTTCCTTGCTATTCATATAATCAGCCTATTTTTTCTTTCTTTTTGTTTTGCTTTATAATTTATTGAGGTATAATTAGTATGAAATAAAATGTATGTAATGAAAAATACTATCTAATAAATTTGACATATGTATACATCATGGAACCATGACCACAATCAAGATAAGGAATATACCCGTCACCTCCAAAAAGTTTTTTGTGCCCTTTGTTTTCCTATTCTCTCATCTGCCCAATCCCTAACCTTGGATAAAAAGATTTTTAAAAGGTGGTGATATAGGCCAGCTGGTGTGGCTCAGTGCTTGAGCATTGACCCATGCACTAAGAGGTTGCCAGTTCAATTCCCAGTCAGGGCACATGCCCTGGTTTCAGGCTCAATCCCCAGTGTGGGGCATACGGAAGCAGCCTGTCAATGTTTCTCTCTCATCGATGTTTCTATCTCTCTGTCCCTCTCCCTTCATCTCTCTCTAAAAATCAATAAAAACATTTCAAAAAATAAAAGGTGGTGAGATATATATATATATCTATATATATATGTATGTACACACACACATACACACACACATATATTTTTAATGCATTTGTTGTGTCTCCCATCTACATCTCAATGCAGTGGTTGTCAACTGGGGGGCAGGGGTGTCATTTTGCCCACAGTGGACATTTGATAATATTTGGAGACATTTTGAGTTGTCACAACTCTGGGGAGGTGCTACTGGGATTTAGTGGGTAGAGGCCCAGGATGCTGCTGACCATCCTATAATGCACAGGACAGCCCTCACAACAAAGAATTGTCTGGTTCAAAACATCAATAGTGCTGAGATTGAAAAACATTGATATAATGCAATGTACTCTCTTTCCACAGGGTTCCACTAAAATTGGTTTTATAAAGATCAACAATAATTTTTTTTTTTTTTTTTTTTTAATCCTCATCCGAGGACATTTTTCCATTTTTTGTACAGATAGAGTAGGAGGGAGAGAGAGGAAGAGAGAGAGAGGGAAACATCGATGTGAAAGGGACACATCGAGTGGCTGCCACCCGCACAACCAACCAGGGCCAGGGACAAACTGCAACCGAGGTACATGCCCTTAGCGGGAACCGAACCCGGGTCTCTCCGGACCGCAGGCGGACGCTCTAACCGCTGAGCCAAACCGGCCAGGGCAAGATCAACAATAATATCCTATGTAATTTAAAGGCTTCTTTTAAATAGTCCTATAATAATACTTAGTTTCTATGCAGCATCTGACACTATTTACCATCCCCTTCTTTCTTTTTCTTTTTTTTAATGCCCTGACAGGGAATCAAACCTGGATTTCTCAGTCCATGAGGCGACACTCAGTCCACTGAACCACCCAGGCCAGGCACCATCCCCTTCTTTCAAAAATGTTTTCTCTTCACCTGCATGACATTAAACTTCCTACTCTTCTGCTGGCTGTCCTGTGCCTGTTGGCCTAAAAAATGTTGGTGTTCTTCAGGGATCTATTTATGCCCTTGGTTTTTTCCTTATGCACGATTTCCCTGGGTGTTCTCATCCACACCCATGGTATCATGACCTCTAGCTTAATAAAATATAAATCTATGTCTTTAGCCATTTACTTTCTCCTCGAGTGTCGTACTCTTGTCAACTGCCTATTAGATTTCTTCACTGAATATCTCATAAATATCTGAAAAGCAACATATTAAAAACTAAACTCATTCTCTAGCAAATCTTTCCTCTTTTTTTTTTTTTAAATTCTCACCCATGGACATTTTTCCATTTTTTGTTCAGACAAAGTGGGAGGGAGAGAGAGAGAGAGAAACATCGACATGAAAGGGACACATTGAGTGGCTGCCACCCACATGACCAACCAGGGCCAGGGACAAACTGCAACCAAGGTACGTGCCCTTGGCAGAAATCAAACCTGGGTCTCTCTGGACCACAGGCCGACGCTCTAACCACTGAGCCAAACTGGCCAGGGCTCTTTCCTCTTTTTCATTGATTTATTTAACCACTTTGTTGTCTACCCCGTTGCTCAAGCTTGAATATTTGAAGTCATCTTTGATGTCTTCCTCTTTGCAAACCCACATCAAGTCCTCTGAATTCTAAACCTCTGTCTCTCATACATATCTCCTTTTCTTTCAGGCCATATCAGCTCTCTCCTTAACTGTTGTAATAGACTCCTTATTGTTCTCTCCCTGAAGTCTTGTGATTATTGAAAAGCGAGTCCACCAAATAGGAAATAATCTTGCAAATCCTATAGACTAGCTAGTGTGTTTGCCTGACAAACAGATTAATCGTTTAAGAATTCAAACCATTGCCCAGCTGGTGTGGCTCAGTGGTTGAGCATTGATCCATGCACCAAGAGGTCGCTGGTTTGATTCCTGGTCAAGGCACACACCCAGGGTGTGGGCTGATCCCCAGTGGGGGGCATGCAGGAAGTGGCCAATCGATGTTCTTTCTCATCGATGTTTCTATCTCTCTCTCCCTCTCCCCTCCTCTCTCTCTAAAATCAATAAAGAAGAAAACAAAAAACAAACAACAAAAAGGGCTCAACTAATAAAAAGGAAAGATTAGGAATGTCAGCTGGAAAATCCTATTAAAAAAAGAACTCAAACCATTGCCTTTTCCATGAAGCATTCCTCATGTCTCTGAAGTTGAGACTTCTACTCCTCCCCCTTGCACTGTGTTCTTATCTTTATTATAGTACTTACAAAATTATAATTATTTATATCTCTACATTTTTAGGAGACACTTAAGTTGTCTGCCTAGAGTACTCTTTCTGAAGACCTGCCTTCCTCCCAACCTCCTCAGATACCTTTTCATCCTCATCCCCAATCCTTTGTGAGCCACCATCCATACATGAAGAGCTCTTGTAGGCATGTTTTTACATCATGACCCTGACACCCTGTCCTTCACTAGGCATCTGAATCAAGTAAGGCCAGTTAGTTCCCTCCCTGCGAATTTGGAATTGAGGCAGATTGCAGATGAAAGTGAATTAGAGTAAGAGAAGAATAGAGATTCATGATTGTGTTCAAGTCTCAGTTCCAGATTGTAGAGGAAGCTTAACTGTATCCATCCCTTGGGCTTCCAGGTGGCAGTCCTGTTACCTTTTAAGCAAATATCCCACCCCCACTCAATAAGTTGTTTTGGCTGCATTTCTGTTACTTACAACCATAGAGTCCATACTGACTATGGATTCAAGGATAAGGACCTTGCCTTGGTCAACTCCCCCAGTAACATAATACTACTACATAGATACAAAATAGATACTAAATATAAAAATATTTGTGGAATGGATCAATGAATAAAGGATAAAAGGGAGAAAGGAAAGAAGGAAAAAGAAGTGATGAGACGTTTTAAATAAAAAAAGAGCTCTAGCTGGTTTGGCTCAGCATTTGACCGTGGACCAAAGAGTCATGGGTTCAATTCCAGTCAAGGGGACGTACCTGGGTTGTGGTTTGGTCCCGGCCCTGGTCAGGGTCATACAGGAGGCAACCAGTTGATGTGCCTCTCTCACATCGACGTTTCTCTATCTTTGTCTCTATCTCTCTCTCCTTCCCCCTCCCACTCTATCTGGAGATAAATGGAAAAATATCCTCCAGTGAGGATTTAAAAAAAAAATCATAAAAAGAGAAGTGAAATAGAATGGAAAAATTGAAACAAATAGAACTGAACTGAACAAGAGAAAGCAGCAAATGATCTTTTTTTTTTTTTTTCCTTACCCGAGGACATTTTTGCATTTATCTTCAGACAGAGAGGGAGGGAGAAAGGGAGAAAGAGGGAGAGAGAAACATCGATGTGAGAGAGACACATCAACTGGTTGCCACCCACAGGTCTCCAACCAGGGCAGGGACAAACTGCAACCAAGTTACGTGCCCTTAGCAGGAACCGAACCTGGGACTCTCTGGTCCGCAGGCTGACGCTCTAACTGCTTAGCCAAACTGGCCAGAGCAGCAAATGATCTTAACACAACAACAACAAAACAATGAAGAGTATGATCTAGGGGTAAAATGTGTGGCTGTCCTAAGGTCAGGCAGCCCTTCCCCCTTGCTTTCACCTTTGCCCATTTTTCTCAGAATCAGGCAGGAGGATCCTGCAGGGAGGCCTCAGAGTATTTTTGCCCAGGCACTCAGGATTTCCATGAGATCTTCTGCTTATAACCCACCATGGTTATAGCAAAGTAATTCAACTCCCAGTTGCAGCCATACATGTCTAGAGCTTAGTGAATCTAGAGAGTATGGCCTAGTAGACGTAGCATGAACAGATGGGTCCAGATTGAGGAAGGTCATAAAATGATTAGATGGGAGGAGCAAAAGATAGTAGGAATGAAATAACTCTCAAAAGGAGAGGGAAACTGGGGTAGGAGCGTATTGTCATGCAGTAGGAAATTTGGGATATATATCAAAATGATTCCTGTGCATCAAATTTTCCATTAATTTATTCCACTATTCATTTACAAATAAACATTCTTTTTATCCTTGAACTGTATGATATAGTTATTGTATATATATATATATTATTTCATTAAAAAAACTAAACAAACAAAAAACCACCTAGCAAGTGTGGCTCAGTGGATTGAGCGTCATCCCATGGACTGAGAGGTCCTAGTTTGATTCCTGGTCAGGGCACATGTCCAGATTTTGGGCTTGATCCCCAGTGGTGGGTGTGCAGGAGGCAGCTGATTGATGTTTCTGTCTCACATCAATGTTACTGTCTCTCTCTCCCTAAAACAATCAATAAAAACATGTTTAAAAACAATCAAACAAACCATTTTCTATCTCTAATTTCTATTTACCTCTTTTGTTCCACTGACTCTCCTCCTTCCATACCTTCCTTCAGGAAAATTTTATCTCTCTAGGGACATGTCATGGACTTTAACTTAGATTTCACAAAGGCAGGAGGATCTATACTCTGGTATTCTCGGATTTTATGCCCCTTCTAGAGCTCTTCTCCCTGATTCCCGTTCTTTTTGTTGCAGGGGGGGCGTTTGTTTACTAAGCTGGAGAGATGGGCACAAGGACGGGCTTAGGGAAGAAGCAGCACCAGGAGAGCTCAGGCGACTGCTCTGGCTCACTAGGAAGTCTGAGAAAGGGGGGCTTGGAGACAGGTTCAGGGGGTAAACCTGGGACAAGCTGCCGATGCCCACTGATCCCCTGGTTGCAAGTCTTGTGGGGTCCCTTAGAGTTTAGGAGGTGCACACCTGTAGGAGGCAGACGCAGCAGAGAGGCCAAGGGATGTCCCCCCTCACGATTCCCAAGGCCATGGCTGTAGAGACCAATACCACAAAAACTATGGAACACTTCACAAATTGGCGTGTCATCCTTGCGCAGGGGCCATGCTAATCTTCTCTGTATCGTTCCAATTTTAGTATATGTGCTGCGAAGGGAGTACTCCCTGATTCCCTTTTATCACTAACCCCATCTTCATCTGAGAAAGACTACTACTGGAGCCAGTAATCTTTCTCCCGCAAAAACCTGATCTCACTATTACTTTGCCTATGACATTTCAATGCTTCCCCCATTGTCTGTGGAATGGAGTGCACTTTTGAAAACATGGCCTAGAAGGCTCTCCATGATCTGGTGTCTAGCCTTGTCTCCCTATTCTTCCTCCCAGCCACTCCCACTGTGCCACCCCCATGGAAAAATCCTCCAACCAGAATAAGCTTCTTTAAATTCTTTGAATTGACATGTCTTTCTTACCTTTGACTCTCTCTCAATGCTATACCCCCTACTGGAAACTCTTTCTCCTCCTAGTCTCCTGTCCCTGGCCAAATTACACTCACTCGTCAGGTCTCAGTGTAAAAGTAACTTCTTCTGGGCTTCATGTATACTGCCTTCTCTGTGTGCTGTCCTTCAACAGATTGTCTAGTTTTAGCAGCCTGTGTGTTTGTCTAGCCCCCTTCTCAGCTTGGTGAGGTTGGGATGTTGCTTTTCTTATTAACTCTTATATCTTTAGCACCTAGCAGTGTCTTAAACTAGCAAGCACTCAATAAATATTTACAGAATGAATAAGAAGGCCAGAGTCTTTGTGCTAACCTCTCCCTACTCCTCCTCCTACATCATCCAAGCTGGTCCTTTGCAATAACTTGTTTGATGAGTTTATCTTCCAATACCCACTTCCTGTTCAATAGAGAAACCTGATAATTCTAGTAGGTATTCCCTTTTTTCCAGCCCTCGGATTAGAAGTTATCTGATCAATATTTAATAGGTATTTGCATGATCTGTAATAAACTGGTTGCTTCTCATGTTAATTCCTAACAATCTTTAAATTATATCATGGCTGATTATGAATAATGCTACACTGCTTCTAACCCACTCCATAAAGATATAGTATATGGATAGGTGAGTGAGTGAGTGAGTGAGTGAATGAATGAAAAGCAATTTAACTAGTCCCTTTCCACATTCCCAGTAAGGATTATGTCACTCCAGCTCCGGCATATTAGTGATAACAGCAATGTTTTCAAGGATCCCCTTACATCGTTAGCTTTTATATTACCCAGTATGCTCTGCCCCTTGCCAGTTCTCTGGCTATTAGAACTCTCTTTGAGCACATCCACCTGTTCCTTTCT